AGGGTTACTTAGAGTGGTCTGCATGTAATTACAGTCTGCTTAGGAACAACCACTCCTCCAGACTGACATCTGAATGCCTTGATGGATAGATATTTGCATAACTCCTTCCAAGATCCAACCCACTGCTTGCATCAGGGCTGAGGGCTCCTGATAGGAGGACTGAGGATGGGTCCTGTGATGTTTTCAGGAACCCATGTACAGCACCCTGCCGCCCCCTCCCACCAGCCATAATCTGCCTGCATCACATAGAGGAGCACAGACACCCTGTGATGACATCACTGGCTTTACAATAAGGTATGTATTGAAAACAAAAACATTTTTTTCACAAGTTTTAATAGCATCTTGATGAAGGGGGGCGGGGGGACCATTGAAGACAAAATTAAAGCCGATTTAACTTCAGCTATAATAAATAGAGCTGCATTAAATTGTGTCTTCTATATCTACCAGGAATTCATCTGTAGGTCTGCCCCTATTTCTGGTAGATATAGAAGAAACAATTTAATGCAGCTCTGTATTTATTAAAGCTGAAGTTATATCTGTTTTATTTTGCATTCAATGGTCTAGCTCTCTCCCCCCCCCTCAAGATTCTATTGAAATGTGTCACTTCTTCTCTACTGTCATATCTGAAGTACTACTTTGAAAGACGCCATCATTGTTCTGCAGTGCAAATTGGGCTTAAAATGGTTTCCAACTCCTTCAGAGCAAACACAGATCTGTTTGCTGGCTTGGTTCTTCTGATATTTCTTCCTCCTTCATATTATTATAAGGATCTGTGAGCCTACTGCCTCCAAAGCCTGCAATTATAGTCAGAAGCACTGTGTGATCCATTGATTGGGCAGGTACACCAGCTCTGTATAGTCATGTCACCCCTGCTCTGTGAACCTCGTGTAACCCGCACAATTGTTTTTCAGGGTCTTTCTGGCTGAGCAGTTTGAATCTCTGCAGACGCATCTGGACTCTGTGATGCCGTCAGCTAAAAAGCCTTTTCTGCAGCAGTTCTATTCTCAGGTCAGTGACGGAATCAATGAGGTGTGCGTTCTCCTGAGCTCCTGAGTACACCTACATGCTGTTTCTGAGGATACCTTGACACAGTTAGGAAGATTACAGGCAATGCCGATTGGGAAATCTATGCAAATAAAAGTGATCTGCAGACTCCTTTAAAAAGTCTATATGTATAGGTCTTTTCCAGGTATTTAAAGGAAACCAGTGCTGAGAAATATGCGGATGCTGCCAATGTTAACCTGTTCTGAAAATGCTAGTTTGCTGGCAGTCTCTGCCATTAATACATCCTTATTGCAGGATTGTGAATTGAATTGCCACACTCCATTTGAAGGGCCAGATACATCTTTATTTAATATAAGGTTGAGGGGACAGTATAGAAATATCCAATGGGTTTCAGGGGCTCATGCAAATCCCCACTTCATCAGGGCTCACTAAGGGAAAACAGGCATATGGACTGTGATGTACTGATAATGATTTGACCAGTGTGTAAAATGCAGCTGATTTGGCAGTAACTTTATACCAACATCTTAATTGGCCAGCCACACCAATAGGATAAACCTTGTGCGGTTTTTTTTAGGGATACACCGATACTAGTATCAGTGCCAATGCCAAGTATTTGTTCGAGTGAATGCTCCGATGCCTAGCCCGATACTTCCGGTATCAGGAAGCTGGGCAGCGAGTCATTACAGGCTGCCCGGCTTCCTGATTGGCCGGGAAGCCGGCTCCCTCGTCACTTGTGACGAGGGAGCATGGAGCCGGCTTCCCGGTCAATCAGGAAGCCGGGCAGCCTGTAATGACTCGCTGCCCGGCTTCCTGATTGGATGGGAAGCTGGTCAACCAGGAAGCTGGGTGCCATGTAATGACGTGGAGCCTAGCTTTTTGATTGTCCGAGAAGCCAGCTTCATGCTCCCTTGTCACCATGACGAGAGAGCATGGAATCTGCTTCCCGGCCAATCAGGACAGGCCAGTCATTACACGGCGCCGGGCTTCCTGATTGGCCGGAAAGCCGGCTCCATGCAGAAGCATGGGTGACGGCTTCCCTGCTAATCAGGAAGCCGGGTGGCGAGTCATTACATGCCGCCTGGCTTCCTCAATGGGACTTTTGGTATTCGGTATCAGCGAGTACCGGAAAAAAAAAATATCGGTACTCGATACAGAAGAACCAGTATCGGTGCATCCCTAGTTTTTTCCCCCCAGTATCTATACAACCTTTAACATTGACCTGGAAAAAAGCATGCAAATCATTAAAGTCAGAACTACGTACTTGTTCCAGGTCAGTGCTTTAGTTTGTCTTGAAGCCGTCAGGCCAAAGTGGCAACCAGGGCACTGGAAGAGGCCCACTCAAACAGGCACAGCAAAGAGCAAGGCCTAGCTGGGCATGCTCATTCTGAGCTGGGTGAAGTTTGGGTGAGTTGATGTCACTTAATTGGCAGAGGAGATTTTGGATCAGTAAAAAGGACTTGGCTTCACCGAAAATATGGCTTCACTTTGAGAATAAAGATACCAGAGGGCAGGGCAAACTGTCTGTGCTCAGCAGCTGACTGTCTGAACTGGTTTGTTTCAGACCTATACAAAAGGGTGTCGTCATTGGGGGCAGCAAGATATTTAGATAGAGCCCTAGTGACCGCACACAGGCAACCTGGTAAATGAACTAAGCCAGAATGCTGACTCCCTGCTTTTTAGTTATGTGAACCTGTCTCCTCTAGTCAGCCGGATAATGAGGGGAGGACTCTGCGCTCGGAAGCCTTTTCGAATAAGAGATATAAAATACACCAACATGCAAGAATAGCAACTCCAGCCAGTCATCTTAGTGCAAGCAATTGTAAACCGATGGCAGGAATAGGTAATTATAACTCAAAGTCTCATAGTGCAGGAGGTGTAGACCTCATTACCTAATTGTCCCGCACATTAACACCTCTAGTGCCATTCACACACCATTATATACTGAAATAGTGTCCCAAAAAGATCTGGCTACCCAAGAAGGGTATCAACCTGACTCCAAACAATGTATGAAAATCAGGATTGGACACTGGGATTAACAAACTCTTTCCCAGCACCCACACAGTGAACCCCACACCAACCTATATGAAGAAAAAAAAACGACTATCGGGTAAAAGAGTTAACGAAAGCAACCAAAAGTGACGGCAAAACAGAACAGGAAAAGAGGTCGACCTACCCGCGACCCAAAATTACAAGCTTGGTCCCTCTTGAAGTCGGTTATGAGAGGATGGCAGAGAGATTTCGATGACCCCGATCTATTTCCTAAACTGACCCGAATCTATTTCCTGACCACATCTCACAAACCCAGGACCAGCTCAGGTAGCCAGCTAAAGCTATCGGTCAGCAAATCCACATATTTTGTGGTAGGGAAGAAGTCTCTTCAATAAAACCATGTTTTCGAGAACTGATCATGTGTCTCCCTAGCAGAAGCTATCAAACCCTTCATCTGTTCAATTGAATTCATCTTGTTAATCCATATCGGAATGCAGGGAGAAGGTCACATGCTCTATTAGCAAGGTCTCCAACAGTGCAGGGTGGTGACGGGTAAGCTTGGGGAGTAGGTATATGTCCCTGGAGGGTGGATCTATGTGCAGAGACTGGAATGTCCAAAAGAAGTCACCAGCACGCCAAGGTCCAATGTGCTGAACGCCTCTTTTATTCAGACGATATATAGACATGGTGGCACAGTGTAAAAGCATGTGCAGACACTGTCCCTTTAAGAACCGACTTCATGCTAAATTTAGATTTTAGTTTTCGGAGGTCTCCACGGGCTTCTGTTATCTCTTGGAGTTTCCAATGGCTAGACATCTCTGCAGCTAGACATCCCACAAGACCATGCAAAAGGTATAAGTCTCCGAAAGCAGGATTTCCCCTTAATGCGGGTGTTCAGCATTGGAGGCCTCTTACAGCCTTCGGCTGGAGATTTTTAAAGGTTGTATTTTGTCAATGGGGTCTTGAAGAAGCCAGCGGAATTTGTTTTCCCGCAAATCACGTTTCTCTAGTTTTCCTATTTACTGATATAACATAAATGAACAATATATTGGTTTGGACACCTTTGCACTGACTCCTCTTGCATTTAACGTGTATTTTGCAGACCGTGTCCACCGCCAGCGAGCTCCGCAAGCCAATTTACTGGATCGTAGCAGCGAAGGCTATCGATTATGAGCAATTACTTGTGCTTATGGCGAACGTGAAGTGGGACGTAAAGGAAATCATGTCACAGCACAATGTGTATGTTGATGCTTTATTGAAGGTAATTCCTTTCACCGCTGCGCGGGATCTTTATATTGAACTAACAATCAGCGCGCATTCAGGTCTCAGCTCTGGGTGGTGTATTTGTTTTCTGTCATCCTTCAATGTCATTGAAGCTTCAATACTTCTTCTCAAACACAATAAAGTCAGGAACACAACTAGGTCATCAATATAGTAAGTGATTGGCCTGTTACCTGTGTCTGATTCTTTTGCTTTGATGGCCAGTTTGGAAATAAACTAACGTGAAAACAATTGTACATTTTACTGGAACGTATCTTTTATCAGAGCGGATGCCTGTTTTTAGTCATTTTAGCTTTTTTATCTTGTCCTTTTTACAGAGTGACATAGGCTGAGTAAAGACGCATGTCTATCGAGTTCCGTGAAAGACACATTGGAGTGAATTATTTAAGTGGTTAGCACTATTGCCTTGCAGCACTGGGCTCCTTGGTTCGAATCCCGGCCAGGACACTGCATGGAGTTTGCATGTTTTCTGTGTGCTTGGATGGGGTTCCTCTGGGTATTCTGTTATCCTCCAGTTCCAAAAACATGCTGCTTGGTTAAATAGTTCCCATCTACATTAGCCCTAGTAAGTGTATGCATGTGACATAGGGACTTTATAGGTAAGCCTCATAAGGGCAGGAACTGATGGTGAATGTGCAGCATGTAAAGCACTGCTGGAATCATTAGCATTATATAAATTCCTGTAATAAATGGAAACATTTAAAAACAAATTTAAGTTTAACTCTAGGCTCACCTCTCCCACCCACCAGTGCTTCCCCTGGAGGCCCCCCTGCTGTATT